CACGGCCACCAAGGCAGTGGTGTTTGAGTGGTTCTGTTCACCTGTGTGAAGCTTCTGAAGAACTGTGGAGCTGGCATCAAAGTGTACAGCAAGAATAGCACAAGCAGAAATAGTATGACCCTGAACCACCCCAGACATGAACACAAATGGGAGTTGTCTGGATAGAGAAAGATTGACAGCTCTTTGAATCCAAGCACTAAATAAAGACATACATTTGTGGTGCTCCTAGAATGACTCTGGTTCCAGAAATCAATGCAGAGATTTGTTTAGCCCAGTATGTGGCATTTTTCTCCCCTTCTCAGACAGACTAATTTTACCTAGAAACTTGCTGTCTGCATTATATCTCCTCTTCTCTTTTTCTGCAGATGATGAGGCATTGTCCAAAACTGACTTAGCAACAGCAACAAGAGAGATGGATTGTCACTTTAGGTTACTCAGACAGTGGTTAAAGTTAATAAAGGTTCAGGCTGCTTCTTTGTGCTGCAAATGCTGCGCGACAGACCAGCCTGCTGAGGAGCCCAGTTGGAGGTGCTGGGCCCGCGATCGCTCCTCAGACCCCACGGTGGTGGCTGCAGCATCCATTTTCACAGAAATACCACTGGAGTGTGAATGATGTATGAGGTGAACAGTTCCTGCACCCCTCCCTTTTTTTTCAGGGGTTGACCATGATCTGTTCCTACCCTCCTTCCCTCCTACTGTCCATGGATCTAAAGCTTTGACCCTCACTCTCTGAATACACTTCTCCTATGCGCAACTGCTTCCCAACAGGGGCTGCAGAACAAGGCATAAGGCAGCAGCATATGACAAATGATGCTTTTTTTGTAGACTATGCAGAGCTGGAGGTCAAGCATGCTATTAATAATGCTCTGACTTTTTAAAAGCTGTATTCCCTCCATTTGTTGGCAACACGATTTGAAAGGTCTGTACAAGCCACTTAAAACAGCAGCTGAACAGAGGCATTTCAGCATTGTCCAATATTGATTTTTGCTTCTGACTTGCCTCTTTGCTAAGACTGGTTTCAATATCCTGTGAAGTTTAAGTGAAGATATTTCCCATCTCAATATCCATGCATTGTTATTTGATACCATAGACGAGCCTGTAGTATTTTCCTTAGCAACGTGGCTTGGCTCAAAGAGCAAGAGTGTCACAAAATCTCTGTCCTGGACCATTGCTGCCCACATCAAAGAAAGGCTGAGTGGGGAACGAATGGAAGTGGGCTGGAATGGGGAACCCAGTCACCAGCCTGTTCACCAAGCACAACCTGTAAAAAAAAAAAAAGAGCACAGTACAGGGCTGCTACAGCAGATTATTTCTGCCTCCAGTCAATTGGTCCCAAGGAACAAGAAACTTCAGCAAATTCAAAGCACTAATTGGCATGCTCCCACATAACAGAAGTTTAAAGTAAAAAGACACTCAGGAAATTTAGCAAATCCTTAACCAAAATTAAGGAAACAAGAGAAGCATATGTGAAAATATGAAAGTAAAATAGTAATTATAAACATTGGTTTGTCTAACCATGACAGTGACATAAAATTTAAGAAATTTCCCTACTGGGGAAATTAGGACATATATATAATTTTTTTTTTCATTTTTTGGGGGGGGAAGCAAGTGAGATCCTTATAGAAGAGAAAAGGTCATAAGGAAGTGCTCTATATTTATACAACAACGAAAAAAGACAAAGAAAGAACAGGATTTCTCCTTTGTGGGGAGGGAGACAGAAGCACAATTAAGAATGACATTGAGAAGGCTGAAGTGCCTCAGCCTTTCTTTACCTCATTTAAAAAAATCTAAAACTATTCAGGCTATCCATAGACCAGAATTTATTAAGAACTTAGGCCAGTAGAAGGAAGAAGAGGCTATATAGATACACAATGTATCTTCAAATCATGTGAGACATAAAATTCACCCCAGAGTGCTCAGGGAGTTGAGTAAAGCAATTTCACAGGCATGAGCAATCATCTTTGAGGACTGATGGAGGGTGAAAGTTCCAGAAGACTGGAAAATGACCTCTCAAGAGCTCTTCCAGCCATGGTTACCATTCCTGTAAGGAGGGAAAAACAAAGGTAAGACTGTGACTTATTGATTCCTTCTTAAGGAAGCCACAGTGGTGAAACAACTGCTTGGTATTCTCACTATAGGCAAACCATAAAGTTTTGAGAACACAGGGTCAGGCTGGCTCAGATCAAAGGTCCATCTATCATAAAATTGTCTCCGATAGTAGCCTGCAGCAAATACTGCTGTATCTAAAACCAAGTGTAGGGCAAGCATACAGCAGCATGTTCTCTCAGCTCTTAGCAATCAGAAGCTTAGGGATTTACAGAGCTAGAGACTTTGCATCCTTCTGTTAATAGCCCTCCATGACCCTTATTAGCCCTCAACCATTACTAATCAAGAGATCTTGAAAGTGCTGTCTTTATTACATGAAAACAGAAGATAATACATAAAAACTGAAAATAGTCACATATTTTCTACTATTCTGCCTTTCAGTGAATATACTTTTGTTCCCAGCCTGGATATATTGTTATCACGTATACATTCATTTCATGAACAGCTAATCCTTCAGAAAAGAAATACCAAAACGTCAGGATAGCCACTTCATATTATTTACATTCGAGCACGGTTACTCTGGTTAGTTTGTCAGAAGTTGCTTCATGTTCAACCAAATTTATTTTAAGCTATAAAGAGACAAGACAATCTCTTGTAGATGGATACACTGCAGTTGGAGAATAGTGATTAAAGAAATTTATTTACATTTCTAGCTGATCAACATATTTTAGATCCTTCTAATGGGAAGAATTGATTTCTTTCCTCTACAAAAGGGACTTAATCAATTTTCCTTCTGGAAATGTTTTATTCAACAATAGCTAAATTTCCCTGCATACTCATCTGCCAAAGCAGAAACAATTATGGAAAAGAGAATCCTTTTGTGTTGATAAAATGATATCTGTTTTATTATTTCAACATAAGCCTATTGATTTTTTTATACTGTAAAAAATCCTCCTTACTATAATACAAATTCCTTCAATGTGCAAAACCTTTTCCAAATTTTTAAAATTATTTTGTACTTTTAAATTAAACTTTAGTATCGTTCTTCAGAAAAATAAAAAAATATTTGCCTTTTGCCTTTTGGATTATTCTAGTGGTTCTATACTAATTAAGCCCTTTCTGCAGTGCTGAACTGGGACTTAAGAAGCCTTGGTTCTCCAGCTCTCCAGCTGGCTCTCTGGGCAGAGGAGGTTTCTCGATTCATCTGTAAAATGGGGGCACTGTATGTTCTATACAGAGCTTTGGCATCTATGTGCAGGAGACTTCTTGAAAATACTATGTATTGTGCCGTTCAGCATCTCTTCTCAATGGAGATGGAAGAACTTTCAGTGCTATGGGTTATACACTGGGTGCAGATGAATAAAAAATACATGTGTTAGGTTGTAATGATCTCATTCACAACAATGGCCAAAATGCCTTTGAAGTGCAGCTCAGTTAATGGCAATAGCTCAGTATTTTCTACCATATGTAAAGGTGGGCAAATCTACACACAAATAAGCAGAGAGCTCTTTACAAGTCTTTAATATGGCAAGTCTGCAAAAGTATTTTAACTATGATTTTTTATTTAAAATCTAATTAAAACTGCATTTTGGCTCAGTTTCTACAGTGGACATTGCATTTTATTTGCTCAAATATTAACCAGATTCATTTCAAATAAGAGTTCTTGTATTGTTTGGTTTTATGCAAATTTATAACACCCACAATTCAATATAAACTGATAAGAAAATTAGAGTAAGCTTACCTCCCTGCAGTCTACAGGACTCTTGACCTTGCGAGGACTCATAAGCATAAAAAGATATGATTAAGAAGAATCCTTTAAAAAGAGTAAAAATTAATTTGTATATTTGCTTTCAGTTACAAAGCCTCCCAGATCTTTAAGCTGATGGATTTTCATACCTATAAATACATCTACTCTCTTAACCTCTTGCTAACCATCAGTTGCACACCATAGACTGCATTTGGCACCAGTGCAGTCACTGCAGCCAATTTGGCCACCTCTGGGACACATCTATTACTGCTGTAGAGGTAAGAGCAATTCATTGTGAACTGAGGCCCTGTTGTACTCAGTCCTGTGGAAACAGGTAATAAGAGCGGACAGTCCCTGCTCCAGCCTGGACTCACACCCACCACAGCGCTCCCACCCCCATGGTGATTCACATGACAGTGGCAGAGAAGGGTCCGATCCTGTCACACTGGAATGAAAAGAGACCATAACCTGCATGGCACACCTTCATATCGCATTTGGGAGGGAGTAGAGTTTGTAAAAGGTAGTTAAGGTGCTTAACTGACGTACACTGGAGATCTGAGAGGAACAAAAAAAGCCAGCCAGGAGCAAACTGCAGCTCCCTGGAAGTCCTGCTCAGCTGCTGGTGCTGGTCGCTGCTGGCCCCGCACCATCACCCTCCCATCGCTGCCTGCTCTGGCACAGCTCTTCTTGAGACGGGAGGTGAAGCCGGCCCACAGACCTCCTGGGAACACAGCTCCTGCCTCTCCCTGCATCCTCCATCACCTCCAGTGCTTTCTGGGGACCCCATGCCCACCCGTCATCACCATGGCTGGTGCTGGACCTGGCACCATCTGCCCTCCTGCCCTGGCCACAGCCAAGCTGGGCCAAGGTGAGGACGTGGTACTGAAGTGGTCACGCTTGTGATGATGGTGAACAGGGGCTCAACACCCACCTGCTGCCACAGCACCTCCCCAGATGCCTGCTCACACAGCAGCCCTGGCTGCTCCCACTCTCCTTTTCTCTTTTTTGTTCTGGTTGTATGGAGTTGGGTGGGACACATGTGCAGCCAGGACACGATGGAGGTGTGAGCTGGGAACAGGTCGATCCAGGGTGGCCTTGCTGCCTACATGGGCTTCCAGCTGCGGACTAGGGGCTGTGCCTGTGGCATGGAGGGCAAGAGCCAAACACTGGAACCAGTGAGGAGCAAAGAGGCCCAGGACAACAGTGCTCAGCTTCACAGACTTTTATTTTTCACTCTGTACAGAACACGTCTGCGATTGTAATAAGGCATCAAATGCGCTATTGAACAGCTCACGATGGACTGTGATGTTTCGCCCTGTTGTGGATCAAAAAGGAGCTTTACAAGATTAAACCAGTTGCTTTCCTAGTCAGTAAACTTTATATTCATCGCAGACAGATTTTTAAAAGGATTACAAAGACTAAAAAACTGTAAACACATAAAAAACCAGCAGCAACCCAGCATAGCTTCCTAGGAGAGAGTCTTGGACATTTCTGCCATGGGGCTGAGTTCAGGCTGGCAAGGAGCAGGTGAGGTTGGCTGTGCCCAGGAGCCATGCAGGGAACCCGTGGCCTGGGGGCTGGGAACATGGCAATAGGCCTCCATTCCAATGAATATCCATCCCCAGCAGATGCCATGCAGCTCCCAAATGGCCAGCCTCGGCCACATGTGTCTGATCAAGAAAAGGGAACTGAGAACACGGGTTACCGGGGAGCTGTTTGAGCAGCAGGGAGCCAGATGCTGGCTGCCTCCCTCCCTGCAGCACAGGCACCTCCAGGGCCCCTCTGGTGGGAAGGCAGAAGCCAGAGCAGAGCCCAGCCTGCAGACATGTCATGAGGTAGAAAACTGGAAAGCGTCACGTCTGGCAGTTAGGGTTGGTCAGAAATGAACTGACTAAGGGTATAAATCCTGATGCATTTCTGGGGTATTCAGAAATCTGTACTTGGAATCCTGATAGTTTAGAGGGCACCTAAAACCCAGATGGTATATGCCAAAATTTAGATCCCCAAAAACAGAAAGCTCTCCAATGATCCCTGTGACAGCTTTAGCTCAGGCAATGAAAAAGCACCAACAATTCTTCCCACACCTGTACCCTTAAAGCACTTAACTTTTGAGCAGGGGAAATCAAGTTGTGAGGGTGCATGAGAGGGCAATCAGTGTCCCTTGGCCTCAGCCTTTGGTATGGCCTCGTGTGAGGTCCACTGGCTTGTCCACTGGCCAGTGGGCTCATACATTCATTTTCCACCATCGGTCATCAGACAGCAAGTGCTTTGGTTTCTGTCACACCACACAGCACGAGAACCTGAGAGTCCAGAGGTTTTATATCACACCACCAACTCACACCATGCTGTAATTTGTAAAGGTGATCAGAGGAATGTCCTGAGAGTTTTTATCTGCTAAATTCCTGCACTCTGAAGGCCTTCCTTCACGTCTTTCTTAGTACACAGTAACACCAAAGTGAAGAAACTCTGTTAGTCCTGTTGTTTGAATTTTCTTACTCCTCACACTCCTGCAGAGTATATTTAGATTATTAGGTTGACTAAGGTTTCCTTAAAATGCTCAGAGAAAATTACAGGGTTCATTAAAGTATTGCAGGCTCATGATCTGTGACAGGCATTTTACAAAGTGTCAGAAAACTTCTCTCTTGATAATAACATACTGACAGTCGGGGGAGAGTTCGTTTTTCTAGTGCTAATAATCAGCATTAAGGCATGCCATGGTTCCTACAAGAAATCTGTGATCCGTACAGCTTTAGCTGTCATCTTTCTGCAGTAATGGAATGTACTCCAATTTCATGCATATGTATCATTAAAAAATAAAAATAATAGCTCTGAAAACCACCACCCTCAGTTTTAGAGCTTCTGTCGTGTAGGTGAGAACAGTGATTCCTGCTAGGATCCCAGGCAGGTGAAAGGGTTTTCATCCCCCACGACACCCATCCGCGGCCGCACACTGTCTTGCTCACTCCAGCTCAGCACCATTTACCCTCTCACTTGACAAGGCTTTCCCTGGGTCTGTGGAGGCCATGGCCAACCCCTTCCCATCCTCAGGCCAGGATGAGAAGCAGTGCTGTTCCCAACACCCCACCTCAAGCGTTGTGTCAAGCCCTGCAGGCAGCATCCACATACCCACCAGCAGGCAAAGGTCAGCTAAGGAGGAACTCTCCTCCTGTGTCCTGCTTCCTAGGCTATTTCCTTCCTCACTCTCACTGATCACAACAGGCTGAAGGCTTCTTCTTACATCTGAAAGATATTCCAGGTATTTACTCTAGACATTCAATCCTGAATCCCTGATGACATATCCAGAGGGATGCAAGCTCTCCAAAGACAACTGTGGACATGCTGGTCACTGTTGAGTTACTGCCTGTGAACACGCCGTGTATCACGACATAAACTGGGAAAATCATCTAATAGGCAGCAGCACCTCCTAACAAGGCAGCTCATTTAATTACCCAGTGACACTGAACAAAAGCACCGTCTAGAGCAGCATCTCTTTTGCAGGGCCAGTGCTAAAGCCTGCGTACCATGCTCTGCTATTTACAGCAACCAAAGGCATGAATCTGGAGCAGTGCAGATCCTTGAGTCCTCAGTCAAAGGCCAGCAAGCACAAGGGACTGAACTGGCTGAGTGCCAGACTTGGGTGCTGCACTCATCTCCTGACAGAAACAGCCAGAAAACAGGGAATGAGCAACCAGGTGGCAAAACAGCGTTCAGTCTCTCCGAGTGAAGAACCCACGTTTCCACCATCCACTTCTTATTCTGAACTTTGTGCTGCCACATATTCCTGGGTAAAGCGAGCACAAAGGAAATCTTGTCACCCTTTCCCAAGAGAACTCTTCTCTTGTATGTCACAGTGGGGAAAAAAGTATAATTGAAAAAATATTTAATACTCCTGATATTTGAAACCTAACTCATGACTGAAAAGGCTGTGACAGTGAATCACATGCTTCTACTAAGACTCTGCAGAGACTGTACAGACAGAGCTCTTCACTCATGTTTGGTTTTGTCAGGGACACATACATATATAATGACAGACATGTTAGGAGGACATATATATATTAACCACTGTTCAGTAAGAAGTGACAGTGGTGCATAGGCCAATTTTTGTTGGTTTTCTCAACACTGCAAGAACATACCTTCAATGTTCCACAGAATCTGCTGATGAAATAGCATCAGTGGTACAGGTTTTTAGCTATGGTGCCACAGAACTGTGATTAAAGTAACATGTACCCTTGATCATCTATGTTAAGTGAGTCTCATGTCAGCCAGTAAACTGCCTGATACTTAACCTTTGTACTTCCCAGTGATTTATTTTTTACAAATAAATTGGGTTTTATTGAACGAGCCTCAGATAGCTCCTTCCTGACCTTTCCTTGCTGGTTATGAGAAAGCTGACAGCCTAGTGACATAAAACTGAAGTTTCAGAAAGGACTAATAAGATGCAGACAGCCCCAGTATAAGCAAAGCCCTGCAGCTGAGCTTGAATTTCTTCTGGCATCTGTATTGAAGGAGAATCAATCTCAGCATACCCATGGTTTTTTACTCTTTGGGTCTTTTGAAACTCCAGACAAGAGCTCTGTTAATTCAAGTTATGGCAGTTTTCATACAAAGACATCTGTCCACCAGGAAATAAACCTCTTTTATATGGGTCACTATAGCTATCAGAAGTTAATGACTATCAATCATTGCTAATCTGAAATGAAATGGAGCCACTGACCTCAAGCTGAAAGAGCCTTTTGTCTCCTACCAATACCATGAGCCATATGGTTTCCTGCCCTTTGCCTCTTATTTTATATTTTAAATAATCATCACTAATTGTACAATTGTTTGAAAAGATGGCAGGGTTGTGGCAAGTCATGACCAAGTGGTGTTCTTTCTTCCCTCAATAGAAAAGGGATCAGTTGAAAATTAAAGAATAAAAAAGAATCTGTTTAATGAAATATTAGCCCTGCTATTTGATTATTGGTCCTGCTTCTTAACATTTTATCAAGTAGACTGTTAATAATCCTGCAATAATTAGCGGCTTCTAAAGTGTCAAGGTCATTCCTGTTCTATATGGAGAAATAAGAAAATTATATAGGCAAGACACCAGTGGAATGTTTTATATTAGGATAAACGAGTATCTGAGGAACCTACTTATCACAATTTTTTTTATTCAGTGGTTTTCATTATTTTGTATCATTTGCATTTCCTCTGACACATTTCCTCTTTACAAGTGCTCATATATTGCAAACATTTGATTATAGAGCTTAAGATAAAACCATTCTTGTCAGACAAACAAACTGCATCACCAGCTATCTTTAGCTGCATCTGCTTTCTTTAATGAAACTTATTTTCCTGTAGAAATGCTGCCTTAAAAATCATGACTACACTAATTATCTGTGGCAAGCACATCTTCCTCAACTAATGACAGCTCGAGCATATTATCATTTGCTCCAGACTTCATTCTGAAATTGAAAGATCCATACAGCTTTGCAGACTCCTTGGAGGATGCAAACCTGCTCCTCCGGTACAGCTCCCCTTTCCACATGGACATCATCAACAGGCTGGAGAGCACCACGCCCCCCAGGGTTAAGAGACACAGCCCAGCGATAACACAGCGGTCCAAATGAGCACCAATCCTGGCGCTCTCGTTCTCCAGCCTCTCCATCTCCCGGGCAGCCACAGTGTTGGGATCCACAGTCACATCTCTGGGTACCACGTAGGAAATTATCACCAGCAAAATGCCACTAACCAGGAACAAAATGGCACTAATGAACCCATAGTCAACGGATTTCCCGGCTGCCGCCTCCGAGGCAGCATCTTCCTCCTCGGAGACCAGGGAAGGAGAATCATGCACCCATTCAGGTGGCAGCTCCCTGCAGGAATGCTGCTGCAGAAGGGCATCCTGGCAATGTCCACCTGTAGGACTGGGGGGACTTCTTGCATGCTCCAGATTTACATTTTCATCCACGTAGGTGAATGATGTCTCAAGTTCCTGGGCACAGCAGCAGGCTTTCTTCTTCCCTCTGTCCTCCTCCCTGGGTGAGTGCTCGGGTGGGTGGCAGGGCTGGGAGCTGCTGGAGGGTGCAAGGTGCTCCTGGGGTGAGGTGTCCAGGGATGAGGGCTGAGGTGCCAGGGGGGGCTCAGCCACAGGGCCCGTCTGCAAAGGCTTGCAATGCCTTTCACAGTGGAGGGCTGCTCCGGGGTCCACCTCACCCCCCTCATGCTGCTGCTGCTTGTAGGGAGGGGAGGGCAGGCTCCAGCTGGTAGTGGTGCCCAGGGGCACCTGTCTGCTCTCCTTGGCCAGGTAGAGAAGCTCCATGCAAGCCATCAACCTCGTCCCGGTGAGCCTCGACTCCTGGGCTACTTCATCCTCCAGCAAGTGCTGCCCCTCACCTGCAGAAGCGGCTTCCCGGTACTGGAGCTGCTGTATCCCAGAAATCTTCTACTCTTTCACCAACGTTTTGTTAGGGACATGGCTTGTGTCAGCTGTTAAATGATTAAACAAATCCTCTGTGACATTCATTTTTTTTTGGTCTGCAAATGAAATAACAGAAGGGAAAAAACCCAACAACGAAACCAAACCTGACAATCTCACGATGACATATTAATAAACCAAGGAGCAGATAATGCAAATGTAATACATCAGCCTTCCTCTCAACTGATCAAGGGGAGATGACAAACAATGATTGTTTTAACCACGCATTTAAAATTGCAATCCTCTTGCTGATCCAAAATCTATTAGGGAGTCTAATCAACCTTTGACACCATTATCCCATTAAGGCAATAAGTCATCTACAAAGCACAGGATAACCAGAAAAACTGTGTAAAATGTCAGAGAAAAGAGACGTCTGTTGTTTTAGAAGCAAGTAACTTCCCCACCCCCTTCCAAAAAAAGAATTTTACAATCAGATTCACAGACTAATTAGAGAGAAACATGCAAATCCCATGTAGCTCAATAATCCAGGATCTGTATTCTCCAGTAGAAATCTGATAATCCTATGGGAAAAGCAGTGCTTTCCTATAGCAGATCTCCCATTCGATTAAGAGCTTTTGGAATGAAATTATGCCTCAAGGACTGATGACTCAAAGACGGATATTACTTCTCATCTGCAATTAATTCGTTATTACCCCCTTCGCCTGCGCCCCATCCCCCCCGAGGCCGCCCGGTGTCACGGGGCGCAGTCTGCAGCCCGACGGATGTGTTGCATGCCTAGGAAACACATGTGCGCCTACAGCACATACGTGATCGCTCACAGCCGCTGCTCACTCACGCTCTTCTCGGGACCTCAGCGAGAACCGGCCACGCTGGGGAAAGCGATGCCCGCCGGCGCGGGGAGTAGCGGGATCCACCCGCCACCGAGTGACCCGAGCGGTACCGAGGGTACACAGGCACACACGCACAGGCACACACGCACTGCCCGGCAGGCAGGAGCACGCCGCCTTCTCCTCCTCCTTCTCCCCGTGCTCCTCCTCCTCCTCCTCCCAGCGGGGCTCTCACCTGCCCGGCACACACACACCGACACACACCGACACACACCGACACACACCGACACACACCGACACACACCGACACACACCGACACCTACCTCCCGCCCGCCTCCGCCACCGCCGGCGCCCGCCCCCGCTATGCCCAGCGCCGCGGGGCTCCCCCGGGCGGCGGCGCCCGGCCCGGCCCAGCCCAGCCCAGCCCAGCCGAGCAGCGGCGGGGCGGGCGGGCTCTCTGCGGCACGCCGGGAGCTGTAGTCCTTGGGCGGCGGCGGCCGCGCCGCTGCGGCAGCGCTCGGAGCAGCGCTCGGAGCCGCGCCCGCCCCGCGGCTCCCGGGGCGCTCAGCACGTCCCTGCAGGGACACGCTGCCGGCGTTCCAGTCACCGCACTGTCCCCTCCGAGCACCCGGTTCCTGGCACGTGCCTGGAGACGAGCTTCAGTGCAGCGAGCCCTGTGCGTGTGACTAGCTCGGTCATCAGCCAGACTTGTTTTCCATGGTCACGGGAGCTCGCGACTTACTCCAGGGAAAGATAAAAATCAGATTCTCAAATGATAAGTGATAAAATGGGATTCTCAAATGGTCGCAGCACTCCCGAACCTGAGACTTCAAGAGACGTACTCGCTGCTGCAAGACTTACTGGAAGATCGCAGAAGCTCACTCCATGTTGGCAGACTCCACACGCTTCCCCTGGCCGGCACAAATGACTATTAAAAAAAAAAAAAAAAGACTGTTGCCAAGAAATACATAATGAAATGAATGAGCAGTTAGTACAAACCTTCACTGACCTTTCTTGATAGTTCTTTATCTGAAGTGATAAACTAGAATATGAAAATAAATTGTGGAGGAGCAGGAACTGGAGGTTTATCAGAGCTGGATACTATGTGGTTGGAGAAAGACCAGTTTCTGGGGGAATAAAGAGCATTGGCGGAGGGACCTTTCTAAGGAGCTGAAATGAGGATGCACATGGGAAGTAGAAGTGAGCAGCACTGGCCTGCATGGCAGCTGAATAGGAAAGCAGCTGAATAGGAAAGCAGGGGCACAAGATGGAAAGTGAGCTGGGAAGGAATCAGAAGAGAGAAGGACAGACTGTCTGAAGGAGTTGTGCTGACATCAGATGACAGGGTGATTCTGTGTAAGGACTCTTAGCCAGTTCTGAAAGAATGCATTAAGTAATTAAGTCAAAGTTTTGAAGACATATCCTGCTGAGACGCAAAAGACCCAACACAGAAGATTCAAATCTTTATGGCAAAAGCTCCCCTGAATGTCAAAATTGCTTGGCAGGACATGGTAATAACAGGGGACCTGCAGTGCCCATCTCACAGATTGCTCGATGCTGTGGGCTGCTTTGGACAGCATTTCAAAGCAGCTCCAGGCAGTGTTTCCATTAGCAGAGTGCAGTTTCAATGCACTGAATAGTGTATTATTCACTCTTTGAAGAAAAATTGTAAGGAGAAAATTATGGAGTTGCAAAAAAGGCACAGGCTGTCCTTGGAGCTTTTTGTAATAATGCCCTCTTTGAGATAAATATAAAGGAGAAAATAAAACCTAATCAAAGAAACAAAGAAGCTTATCTGTAAATTGTTCAAATACTTTAAGCTAAAAGCAAAGGCAGAAATAAACTCTCTTTAAGGCTATTGTACATTTCCATTTGAGACGTAGCAGAATATGAAATACAGATGTTGGCGACTGACACCTCAAGCTGCACCTGCCACATCCAATAGACAAGTCTTAACTAAGTGACTGATGGGACAAAATATGGTGCTCAGCCCCAGCAATGCAGCCTGGAAGGGCACAAGCACCTCTCCTGGGCCCCAGCACAACCTGTTAAGGCCTTGGGTGGGCACGTTTTTTCTGGTAGCTGATACAAAGACAGGAAACTCTCTGCACACAACAAATGTTGTTGTTCTTTCAAAACCCAGGAGATACAGCATGTATTCTGGACTGCTTACTAGGGCCTTAGTTAATTGTTATTTAACCACACAAATGTCTTGCTGCTCTGCCACCCAATCCTGCCTGTTGTGTGCCAGCATTTGTTGGGCAAGTATATTAATTTATTGCTAATAATTGCACTCCCACAAACTATGGAGCAAACAGAGGGAACCACATCTCTACTAAGCCAAGTGTTGTCTGTTCTTATGTTGTATGTCCCCATGTGATGCTGTGTAAAAACCTTTTCTGCCTGACGATGGGCACCATATGTCGCGGTCCGAAGAGGGGACAGGACACGAGGAAGGATGCAAGCAGAGTTCTTTATTCAGGCGTGCGTCCGATTCTTATCCGTCCCGCCAGGGAAAGGGGGCAGAACATCGGGTGGGGTATCAGACAGACAAACGGGGGAGCAAATCAGAATAGGGCACAGGCAAAAGGGGGAGGAGTGGGGGAAGCAGGGAGCAGGCAAACTCATGGCAAGCCTGGGCATGTACAGTTGTGCACTGTGTAGCGTGAATACAATGAAACCACATAATAACAGTAAAGTCCATAGGAAAGTCCTGCCAATTGCTGTATGCTTTTCTCCATGCCTGGAACTGTTCCCATCCTGAATCGTGTTCCGTCACAATGCTGCCCCTCCTTTGCCTAGTACAGTGCACACACTCTTATAGCAAAATCATTGTCTAGCCACAATCCATAATACTGACATTTCTTTTTCATGCTTTGGATGCAACGAGTTAACAGGATTTTCTTTTAAAGAATGTGATTGTTGCCAATGCTCGGAGATGTGGAGGTGGTGAAATGAATGCGTAGCAACACATACTCTGCGAACACAAGTACAGCTGGTGAAAAGATTAATCAAGTAAGGGCAGAGAGTAAGAACATTTGTCACAGAAAAAATGGCTATGTAGAGCTAGAAATCAGAGTGATGGACACACAATGGGACAGAAATAAAAGACTGGAGTAGACTGTCAGGGTTGATGAGTCTTATTCTCTCTGCTGCAGCCTACCACATCATAAAGCCTTTTCAGAGCCTGAGCAGGGCTATGATACCAACACTGTGACAGTAGGCTGATAAAGGTGTCTCAGTTGAGATACATGCAGTTAAATTTAAACCATGCTCTGGACCTGCTTGGAAGCTCTCTTCCAGTTGACCCACCTATAAATGAATATGCGAACGAGATATATATGGCTTTTCTGTTCTCAATAACCTATGCTCAGTATAAGACTGGAAGGAGGCTTGTGAGAACCTAAAAGCTGTTTCACCCTTTCTATTTGAAGCCTTGTTGAGGGCCTGACCAGACCTGAAGACATCAGAAACTGGAACAAGACCATTCCATCATGGTCTGATGAAGGATGAGTTTAGAAATATTCTGCTTGCGCTTGCCGTTACCAGTTCAGTGCTGCATGGGGTTCTCAGTAGAGCGTTCCCCAAACATTTTTATTCTTTTTATTCCTCTCAGCTTCCTAACATGTACACAACCCTTCAGTGATCTCGTGTTCACAGAATCTTCAATTCCTTGCCTCACATAGGACCTTGAGTTTCCAGCGGTCCTTTCCAATGCAAGTGTTGCAACTGCACAGCTTCTAAGATAAAGGTGCACTCCAACCAGTGTGGCCCAGAGCATAATATATTCAGAGAAGTCTAGAGAGAATATTGCATAAACTTCCCATTTCCACTTGAATAGATTATACTGCTAAGTAAAGGAAATTGTCTAGGGAGGCAATAACATGGCTCTGCAGAAAAATTTAGAACCTACTAAAGAAATATATGGACCTGTGTACTGATCTGTGAAAAATAACAAAGGTAATAGAAAGGAATGAAGAGGTAAAGCTAAGCTTATATATAAGTGCAAAAGAAAAAACAATATAATTTTTTGCTTAGATAATATAAGTATTCTGAGGATAACGAGCAAATATTTGGACAACTCAGTATGAAAAGAAGTATCCAGCATTTCTGTGTGTTTAAAACACATTACTGTCACAGATTTATTGATTTATAAAGCAAAAGTAGACAGGAAAGCAATTTAATTCTGCTTTGTTTGCTTCACTAATGCACATCCATTGTGCATTAATAAAAGACACAATAAGTAAATAATTTTACAGAGATAAAAGAAACTGTAGATGTGTGATATGATGTTCCAGAATTGCCAAGTCTAGATTAAATCCTTGCTAAAGCCTTCTGCTTCCCATGTCTGAGTAAGTGAAATCATGGTTTGGATAACTGGAGCTCCTGAGGATGAACAAAAAAAAGTCACACTTGATCTTAAAACAAAGGATCATCTAGAGGAGCAAAGAGTGGGAGAGTGGTGTTGACCACTTGAAAAACATATTTTTGTAGCCCAGTGTATGAGCTAACAGACATGAAGGACAGGTGAGATTTAATGGGCTGTCAGGCTGATGTCTGCTCCCAGAGCTGCTGTTTGCCACCTGCTATGCCCACACCAGTGACTTGATCTGATGACCTGACCAACCCCACTGCCCCAAGTTTTGCTCTTCATCCTGACCAGCCTCCCTGCTTTCCTCCTTCAGGAGGTCATACTCAGCCATTTTTCCTCCTGAATCCTTAAGCAACTGAGCACCCCTGTCCCAACAGGCCTATCCTTGACTGTGCTTTAATTTTTCTAGTGTCCTACTGACTTTTTCACAGCCCTTTCTCAGCAGTCTGGGCTCAGGTTGCACAGTGGGACATACCTGAGCTGGCCCTGCTCAGCTGTGCCCAAAGCAGACTGACTGCTTAGTGCCAGGTACCTGGATACCACTTAAATGCCTAAACTTTGGACACCAGGGTGGAGGAGATGCCTTCTGCCTCCCTGCATGCCTCCATGAGGCTGAGCACTGAGCTGTGTGCTGTGCTCTGGAGGAGCCTTGGCAGTGCCCAAACAAGTCCTCCTTGCTGTAGACCTGGTATTGCCGCATGTCCCCACAGGTGTCTGCCCGCTGATGGGAAAATACCATCACTGTGCTGTGAG